ACAAAATATATATTTTAACTGAATCAAACCAACTAGACTAAAAGGGCCCTAAAATGTACTTCCATGTTTAGCAAGTAACTACAACCTTGTTTTCTCTAGATAGAAATACCCAAAGGTTTGGGTTAATTCTCCCTATCCAAATTATACAAAGCATCACTCTTGTAACAAAATATGCATGATATCTTATGGTTGAAGTACTGATGTTCCCTGATTAAATGAGCATCTAAGTTGTCCTATGTAGTACAATTAGCCAGGATAAAAATAATTCAGCAATATCTATATTTTACTAAAGAAATGGACAACAATACAATAACTCCATCTAGAATCCTATTTTCATTTCTAATCAATAAATTTTTTTAAAAAGATAATTGGTTAAGCCTTTAAGGCATAAAAATTCCAATTCCCCAACAGGTTTGATCTCTTGTTTTTATCAATGTTATTAATATTTGTTATGTAAATGAAGACATTCTTGTTAGAAGAAAGTTTAAAGAATAATGTATTTTTGTGTAATTTCTTCTATAATGTTTTATTTATTTTTTCAAATTAAATCTGGTATGATGCCAATATAATAAAACAGATGAAGTCATTATCCACAGATAAGAACTACTGGACTTAGAGCTGGCTACTCCATGAGGTTATAGTTATAAGGTCTAACTAATTGAAAGAAAACCAAACATAAGAAAACAGATTTGTTTAAACATTCCAAATATAAATAAAATAGCTCATAGAATACAGGTAACTCTAAATACAGGGGGAAACCTAATCAATCTCATTTTTATTTTAATGTTTGTTGCCTTAATCTGTTACTTTTACTCCAGTGGGCCAAGCAATGATCTATGTCATTTTAAGTATAAAAATCCTATTATATGTCACACACAAATGTTTTGTCAGATATAGAGGAGAAAAGAAAAGTAAGATCCAGATCATGTTGGCTAATAATTTTGATGTGATCCAGGAGTTTCTTTCATATTGGTTCTAGTTCTTTCTCCTGAAGACTGCTATCTTGCCTACAAGTGACCCTCATCTACATCAGATTCTAGGAATGAGCCTTCTTAATGATGACCTTGGAATAAATAATATGTGGCTCCTACATGGACAAAACGTGATGCTTGGCCGATGGGGGATGTGGGGGTGGTGGGGGGGGCACCTGTTGAAAAAGTTCCTAGAAAGAACTCCAGCATCCTGAGCTGATTTTCCTGCAAGGCTGACCAACTGGTATACACAACAATGACTGGAGAGTTTGGAATGTTGCAGATCCAGAGCCCATTTACAAATTATCTGGGGACATCTTTTAGTCCATAAATAACCATACCTTGCCTACCTCTCTTTCTGAATTGACATCCCTGTGACTAATAAAATGTATTAACTCAGTATACCACCAGCTCTCACCAATCAAAAGGCTAAGAATGTCATCAGATAGCATCTAATACCTATAGTAGAACCAACCCCTTTGCTGAGCAGCCTGTTGAATGTGTCCACCTATGTATTTGAAAAGTGTCTTGATTTATAACCTTTCTTTGTCCCATTATTATAAAAATGTAATGTAAATATTACCAGGCTGGAACATGGAACTTGGGTTAGCCTGAATCTGTGTTTCCAGGTCATGGTCACTCTTATTTGGCTCCAGAATAAACTATCTCTTACCTCTTTGAGGTGAGTTATGCTTTTGCAAAGACGCCAGTGAGTTTCTCAAGACATCAATACCTGCTCTGATAGGTCAAGCAAGCTCTGCTTGGACGGCAATTTCCCTGGAGTTGGGAAGGGTAGGTCTTGAAGATTTGCTTCTCCTTTAACTTTAGCCCCTCCTGTCACTTAGGCATCTGTGGTCGAACTAGTCAATCAGGGCTTCCGGTGGCGCTGCCCAATCGGCGGGAGGCGGGAGGCGGGGGGCGGGACGCGTGCTCTATGGCTCCAAAGTTCCGGGTTCTATGCTGCGAATTTAACCCCGTGGCTGATCTATCCGCTAGGAGTGCTGCGTGGTAAACGCCCTACGGGGAGCTGAAGAGAGTGGGGGCGCAGCCGGAACCGGCCATGGTGAGCGTGGGGCCGGCTGTGTGCAGACGGGAGTAGCGGCCGCCTGGAGCCGCCAGAGCGGGCTGTGCTGGGTCCTTCCCGGACGACAGCCGGACCGCATCCTGTGAGGTCCCGGCGACCAGGTTCCCGGCGCCGCCGCCTGTGGCGGTTCCTCCTGCAGCTGCTTCTGTGCCAGGTACTGAGCCAGAGGCTCGGCCTGCGGGGGGCAGCTTCAGTGTCGGGACTGTGCAGAGCGTCTGATCGTGCTTTTGTGTTGTGTGGACAAGTGTTAGGGAAGTGAAAGTAGAGTCTGAATTTGTTAGATTTTTGAGGTGCAGAGAAAAAAAGTTTACATACAGGATCAAAGCCCGATCTTTCAGCAGATTCAGCGAGGCGGCACAAGACGAAAGATTGTTCTAGATTTTTGTGGGTGGAAATAGAGAGAGCATACACAGCTGTGGAGTCTGAGTGAAGGTGTCCTTGGGCTCTTTTCCTGGAGCTGCTTGCTTGAGCAGAATGAAGAAGCTGTTTCACCTTGGTGTGGTTAGCTGATAACAGAGAAGCAAGAACAGCGGAGAAACATCTTGGTTCCTAGGAAGCTTAAATTGTCTGGCTTTTCATCAGCTGTGGCACTCTATCAGCAGTCAAGGTTGGGTACAAGGGGGAGGGAAAGGAAGAGGGCTTGCAGCTGTCTAGGAGATAGGGAAGCTGACTAGGGAAGAGGGAGGACGGGGTGTGGAAAGAGCAGCCAGTCCTGGCAGGTTCCATGACCCCTCTGAAGCTCCTCCCTGAGGAACACGTGCAGACACCTTTTCTGTTTCCCCTGGGAAGTTCATCTAATAGGACGTTGGCAGCTCTCTTCATATTCTTGCATCTAATTTAACATTGAATTTTGGGCAAAAAGTTCTTACAAATAAGGCTTTGTTCCAGGAAGGGACCACTGGACCCAGGGCCGGGTAAGGGGAGGAGAAATGTGGACCAGGGCTCGCCAGTTTGCACAGCAGAGGAAGCCCCTCGCAGCCCCCTCGGCTCTGTGCGCCCTCCACTCCGCACTGCGTCCTTCCTTTCCACGTTTGCTTTCTCTCCTGCTGAAGTAAACCTTGACTGCTGCAGCTCCCTGCTGCTCTCTCTGGACAGTTAAGAAGCAGTCTGTGCTGTGACTTGACAGCCCTTAAATTATGGAACCTGAGTCCTGCATGATCTTTGTCCTGTAAATTATGTTGTACTGAATCAGGTGGTGTGAAACTGAAATGTCTGGTGATTCCTTTATTCTGGGGATTACTCAGAGGATTTTTCTGTGACTGGTAAGGACTGGTCTGTGCACTTTCCTTGAACAGGCTACTCTGACTTCCCACTGCTATCCCTTTCATTGGCTCTCTCTCTCTCTCTCTCTCTCTCTCTCTCTCTCTCTCTCTGACTCTGTCTTTCCCTCTGTCTCACTGTGTGTGTGTGTGTGTGTGTGTGTGTGTGTGTGTGTCTCCTATCTGACTTATTCTTACTCTAAATCACACTCTTGAGATTATGGCTTTTTTCCTTAAAAAGTGTAATTATTTATTTTATACATATTTGTGTATATGTATGTGTGTGCACTCAGTGCAGGTGTCCACGGTCATCAGATAATAGAGATCCCCCGGGAGCTGGAATTACACATTGTGAGTGGCTTAATATGACTGGTGAGAATTGAACTCAGGTCATCTGTAAGATCAGTATGCACTTGTCACCACTGAGCCACCTCTCCAGTCCCCTCTCCAGGTTTTAGAGAGAGGCCTTTCCTTCTCCTTAAGGCCCCATCATATTTGATCTCTCCTGTATATTATACCATTTTCTTTTTTGTGTATTTATTTATTGAAATTTTTAAATTTCATACATTTCCTACTCAAATCCAGACCCCCCCTCCATCATCCATGCCTCCCTCTCTTCCCCACTGAACCCTATACATTCTGCCCTTCATGTTAAGTCCTATTCATTTAGGTATTTGTACCCAGATGTCCTTCAGTGTAAATGCATCCACTGGAGTCTAGTCAGCCTATCCAGTGGTAAACGTAAGTCATATTCTTCCATACCCATCAGCAATCAGTCTCAAATAGTTCTCAATCTAGTACTGGCCTGCCACCTATTTTTCACCTCCCCTTTGGGCCCTTGTTTAATTGAGCTGACATGAATCCCGTGCTTGATGCCAACACTGCCATATGCTCATATGAGCAAGCCTCCAGTGGCCTAGAAGTCTCCACCTCCCTGTGTTCATGAACAGGCCCTGGCTCTTACAATCTTTCTGCCTCCTCTTCTGTTATGGTCCCTGAGCTGTGAGCAGATGAGGTTCCATATAGGAGTCCATCCTACACTCCACAGTCTCTTATTCTCCAAAGCTTGGCCAGCTGTGGCCTTTTGTATACATCACACTCTGATGTACAAGGAAGCCTCACTGGTGGGAGTTGAGTGGTGCATTAGCTGTCTCCCTACCCCTTGTTCCGCTATGTTCCATGAGCCTTAGTTGTAGAGATTCAACTGCACATGTGTCACCTAGTACTGGGCATCTTCAGAGATATGTTCTCTGTGCCTGACTAGATGTGCAACTCTGCAGTAGCTTCCATCTGTTCAAAAAGAAAGCACTTTGACGAGTGCTTGTCACTCTAAGGGAGGTCTCTTCTGTCTGGCACTGTGTTTCCTGCCACTCAGCTCCCAGAAATACATATACGTTAATGTTCAGAAACTATGGTCATTTCTCATAGGGTTTCTAAGGCATCACTTTTCCTCTAGGTTTCCTAGCCCCTTAAGATTCACTCATCTCCAATCTTTTTTCTCCCATCCAGCTTTCCTCCTTTCTCCCTCCCTAGTCACAGTGACCCCAGTATCCCCACCCTCCTCCCAATACCTCCTGACTCCTGCCATCTTTACCCTCCTGACTTCCTACCCTCCTCTGCACCATGGTCCCTTGCATGTCCCTACTGCCTCTCTTCCATTGCAATTACTCCTATTTTTTCAACCACCCTCAGGTAACATCTGTTCTCTACTATCCCCCTTTCAGGTTGTTTCTTTTCCTTTACCTCAATGTATCCTTTCCCTTTACCTGGCTCCTGGTGTTACATCAGAATTTAATACTCACATATAAGCGATTGGTGCTACAATCCACAAATAGGGGAGAACAAATGCTTTTCTGCATGTGTGTTACTTCACTTAGAATAACACTCTCTGACTCCATCTATTTACCTGCAAATTTCATAATTTCATCTGTTCTTACTCCTGAGTAGAGCTCCATTGAGTAGATGTACCACATTTTCATTAATGAGTTGTCAGTTGAGGGACATTTAAGTTGTTTCCATTTCTTACCACTTGAGCATCAACAAACATGGATGTACTGGTATCTCTACAGTAGGATGAGTCCTTTGGGTATATGCCAAGGAGTGGTATCACTGAATCATAGGGTAGCATCATTTTTAGTTTTTTGACAGTTCACCACACTGCTTTCCATAGTGGTTGCACGAGTTTGCATTCCCACCAGCAGTGAATGAGTGTTCCTCTTTCTCCATTCTCTCCAACATTTGGCAGCTTTTGTTCTCTTGATCTTTGCCAATCTCATTGGGGCAAGATAGAATGTTAAAGTGGTTTTTATTTGCATTTCTTTAATTACTAAGAATGCTGAGCACTTTTTAAGGTACTTCTTAGCCATTTTTATTTCTTTGTTTTATTTCTTTGTTTGAGAACTCTCTGTTAGGTCTATTACCCATTTTTTTTATTGAGTTGTTTATCTTATTTCTTTCTTTATTGAGTTCTTTGTGTATTCTGGATATTAATCATCTGTCAGATGTATAGCAGGTGAAGTCTTCAATCCATTTGGAGTTGACTTATGCAGGGTGAATGATAAGGTCAAGTTTCAGTCTTCTGCTGGTGGAGATCCAGTTTTGCTAGCACCATTTGTTGAAGATGCTATCTTTCCTCCATTGTGTGTTCTTTGCACCTTTGTCAAATATCAGGTGGCTGAAATTATATGAACTCATATTTCCATCTTTTATTGTGTTCCATTGATCTACATGTCTATTTTTGTACCAGGACCATGCTGGTTTTATGACTATAGTTCTGTAATTTAATTTGAGATCTGGTATGGTGATCCCCCAGCATTGTTCTTTTTGCCCAAGATTGTTTTGACTTCCATGGTCTTTTGTGATTCCATAAAATCTTTTTTTCTTTTTGGTCTTTTTGAGACAGGGTCTCCCTGTAGCTGCAGCTGGCTTGGGACTCACTATGTAGACCAGGCTGGCCTCAAACTCACAGAGATCCACCTGCCTCTGCCTCCCAAGTGTGTACCAGCACACCCGGTGATTACATATAAATTTTAGGATAGTTTTGTCAAACTCTCTGAAGAATGTCATGGGTATTTTGATTGGGATTGCATTGAATCTGTAAATTGCTTTTGGTAAGTTGGTCATTTTCACCCAGGCATAGCGGCACACACCTTTAATCCCAGCACTTGGGAGGCAGAGGCAGTTGGATCTTTGTGAGTTTGAGGCCAGCCTGGTCTACATAGCAAATTCCAGGACAGCTGGGGCTGCAGGGAGACCCTGTCTCAAAAAGGGTCTCATTGTAGAGAAATCTCATTGTAGAGATTTTCATTGTCTTTGGTTAGGTTTATTCCTACTTTTTTTTTTTTTTGAGGCTTTTGAGATTGGGACAGTTTCCTCAAGTGCTTTTTCTGATTGCTTGTTATTGGTGTATAGAAAGGGTACTGTTTTTTGTTAGTTGATTTTGTATCCTGTCACTTTACTGAAAGTATTTATCAATTTTAACAGTTTTCTAGTGGAATTTTTGGGATTTCTTATGTATAATATCATCTGCAAATAGGTATAATTTGCCCTCTTATTTTCCAATTGGTACTCCTTTAATTTCTTTTTCTTGTCTTATTGCTCTTGCAGGAGTATCAAGCACTATATTGAAAAAGAGTGGAGATAGGGATAGCCCTGTCTTATTCCTGATTTTACAGGAATGCTTCCAGTTTTTCTCCATTTAGGATGATGTTGGCTATGGGTTTGTTGTATATAGCTTTAATACTGTTAAGGTAAGTTCCCTCCAACCAATTCCTTCTAGGATTTTTAACATGAATGCATGTTGGATTTTGTCAAATGCCTTTTCTGCATCTATTGAGAGGACCAAGTGGCTTTTGTCTTTAAGTCCGTTTATATGTTTTCTTTCATTTATTGACTT